TCCTCGCCGAACTCTTTTTTCAAAGTTCGTTCAAGCACTTACTAAAAATGCCGCGTCGAAGCCGCTGATTCTCCTTCGTGGAGTCCGACAGGTGGCCACGAACATCTTTAAGTTCGACGTCCAGCTTGGTGTTGGCATCCTGAAGATCATTCTTCTCTCGCCTCACCCTTGTCAACATACTCTCACCGGCCTTTAGCTGGCGTAAGAGTTGTTGCTTGTCTGGATCGAGTCCGGCGCCATCTGCAATATGATTTGTCAGATTTGCACCCACACCACACAATACTAATCTTTCAAAGTGTATCTTACCTGAGGGGGTCTCTTTGGGCTCCCCTGCTGCGGCTAGTGCGGCCTCTAGTTGGGCCTTGCACTTTTCTAGCTCCTAGGACAGTACAGTATTCTTCTCTGTAAGAACCTGCATATTAGAAGATCCTTAAATCAGTTGCTCTAACTGTTTCAAGTCTCGGGGGCTCCTGGTATATATATATTTGACAAAAAATTCTTACCCGTATGTCTTTTACATACTGCTCCGTGGCTCTGGCTAAACCATTTTGAGCGGCACGGAGGTACGCATCTCCCGAATTAAAGGCATCTAAAGCCTCTTGGGAGAAACAAGCATCGCGTAGAACTGTCCGGCGACGCCTGTGGTTCATGGCACTCTCCACTTCAGAATTGGTGGCAGACAGCCTGCCCTCCTCCTTTGTCGGAGGAGCGTCCTGTACGCGCCTTGCACTCGCCTCCGCTTCCTGGCCAGACGTTGGAGCCTGGCTGGTGGAGGCGCGATTGGCAACCTCTCCGGATATAGTCCGGCGAGGTCTCTTCGTTTTGAAGATAGCATGAACGTTAATATGCCCTGACAGAATAACACCAGGGAAACAAAGGGTGCGCTATACCTTTGCGCCGGTATCTCAGTCCGGACTTCATTCCTTTTTGCCCCACGGGGCCCTGCGGCCCCTCGTTGGCTAGCCGCCGCAGGTTCGGCCTCCTGCCTCAGAAAACTCCCCTGCAAAACACGGTTGTCGTCAGAAACGCCGGAATACGCGAGGGTACAATCTCTCTCGAGGGAATGAGACTCCGATTTCTGTCACCTGGGAGGCCGGAATTAACCCTGGGTAATCAGCCATGATGGCTACCAAGGTATTGTCCTTGCTTAGCTGATGGAACACCCCGTCGATAAGATCCACCGATATGTCCGGATCCTCTTCGGAGTCCGAATTGACGGACCATTCTGGGTCCTCGGGCTGTGGAGGGCGGCTGCTTATGTCCTTTACCTCCTGTCGCAGTTCCTGCATTGAAGTCGTTAGACTACCTATCTAACCATGGGAGTACAGAACAAACGGGCAAGTGCAATTGTTCACTTACCCAACTTGGAGGATCGTACATACTGAATCCGGCCTGCGGATTGACGCGGAGGAATTCCTCCTTTTCTCTCTTATACAAAGAGGATAAGATCTTTACTAAGGCGGCGGCCGAGTCCGGCCCCTTACGACCGTAACGTGTGGCGTCATCCTCCCTGTTGAAATCCCACATGGGGTGGCCTCTATATTGAAGCGGCTGCACCCCCCGCATAATGCATGCGTCCATGACTCCAATCATGGTTAGTCCGGAATGAGCCAATAGTCTTATCCGGCCCATCAGATAAAGGACGTCTCTGTCACTTTCTCTTTGAGAGCTCCGCGGACGCCAGCTCAAGTGTTTCTTCAATGGAGCACTACTGAACTCAGGGAGACCGACCCGGATAGGGTCCGGTAGCGGGACGTCATCTATGTAAAACCATTTCGAAGGCCAGTCCTCGGACGCCTTCTTTGGGGTTCCGGATAGGTATCCGGTCCCGGCGATGCGCCATACTTCGGCTCCGCCCACTTGATATATAGACCCCTTTTCAGAACGGGGCACCAGGCAGAATAACCTCTTCCACAGCGCGAAATGAGCCTCAACGCCTAAAAATAGCTCGCAAAGGGCGACGAAACCCGCAATGTGCAATACGGAGGCAGGCATGAGATTGTGCAGCTGGAGGCCGTAGAACTCTAGAAGCCCGCGGAGAAATGGGTGAATTGGAAATCCCAGTCCCCTTATTAGATAGGGGACGAGGCACACCCGCTCTTCCTTAGAAGGATTGGGGGTGTTCTCCGCTTGTTTTCCGCCATTATAGGTGGCGAGACCGGCTCGGACTGGGACCATGCATGCTTGAGGGAGGAATCTCTGGGCCTGAAGTGACGCTAACTTGCTATGCGGGATGGTGCAACTCTCCCAGTCCCCGGGTTTGGGACCGGAGGGGCGAGGGGAGGAGCTGCGACGGCTGGCCATGTTGGAATGGACCTTTGCTGGAAGCACTCTGATGATAACTCGCAGAAAGGAGAAGATGTGGTTTGGACCTAAATCCCCATCCCGTTAAATAGGCGGCTCATTTATACAACTAGGGGTGTGGATGTAAAAACGCCCCGGCTTTTTGCATTTGTTTGAACACGTGGAAGACGACCATTATTGGGCATGGAAGCCAAGGAGGACTACATTACAAAAAACAGACATTATTCCTACAGGTACGCAAAGATTTGGAGAGGAACCCGCCTTGCAATGCCGAACAATCTGCGCGCCGGACTCATCGTCATTGAAGCCTGGTTCGGGGGCTACTGAGGGAGTCCTGGATTAGGGGGTGTTCGGGTAGCCGGACTATACCTTCGGCCGGACTCCTGGACTATGAAGATACAAGGTTGAAGACTTCATCCCGTGTTTGGATGAGACTTCCCTTGGCGTGGAAGGCAAGCTTGGCGATGCGGATATTCAAGATCTCCTACCATTGTAACCGACTCTGTGTAACCCTAACCCTATCCGGTGTCTATATAAACCGGAGGGTTGTAGTCCGTAGGCAATCAACTCCATACACAACAATCATACCATAGGCTAGCTTCTAGGGTTTAGCCTCCTTGATCTCGTGGTAGATCTACTCTTGTACTACCCATATCATCAATATTAATCAAGCAGGAGTAGGGTATTACCTCCATCAAGAGGGCCCGAACCTGGGTAAAACAAAGTGTCCCCCGTCTCCTGTTACCATCCGGCCTAGACGCACAGTTCGGGACCCCCTACCCGAGATCCGCCGGTTTTGACACCGATAGTCGGGACCACTCCTGGTGATGACCATAGTTTGAGGAGTTCATGTATTCACTAAGTGCTAATTCTTTGTTTTGGTTCTCTATTAAAAGGAGGCCTTAATATCCCTTAGTTTCCATTAGGACCCCGCTGCCACGGGAGGGTAGGACAAAAAATGTCATGCAAGTTCTTTTCCATAAGCACATATGACTATATTCGGAATACATGCCTACATTACATTGATGAATTGGAGCTAGTTCTGTGTCACCCTATGTTATGACTGTTACATGATAAACCGCATCCGGCATAATTCTCTATCACCGATCCAATGCCTACGAGCTTTTCACATATTGTTCTCCGCTTATTTACTTTTCCGTTGCTACTATTATAATTACTACAAAACCCAAAAATATTACTTTTGCTACCGTTACCGTTACTTCCATACTACTTTGCTAAATACTTTATTGCAGATATTAAGTTATCAGGTGTGGTTGAATTGACAACTCAACTGGTAATACTTGAGAATATTCTTTGGCTCCCCTTGTGTCGAATCAATAAATTTGGGTTGAATACTCTACCCTCGAAAACTGTTGCGATCTCATATACTTGTGGGTTATCACATCTCTCTTGCTCTGCTCCCCTTCCCTACTCTGCTCGCCGTCGTCGATCCCCGTTCGCCCTAGGGTGTGACAACCGACAACCTGATATACATCTTAGCAATCGTCATTAGTTTCACTAACCATGTCGTCATCACGCCAAAATTCCATCTAGAAAAAACACACTTTCATTCGCTGAGGTATGGAGCTACGCTGCTCCGGAGCAATGCTACCAACATGATGAGGAAATGTGCAGCGATCCGGGAGGGCACTGAGGCTAAACACGGGTAATAGTTCTTGGTATGCTATTGGAGTTGTTCCTGCTGCGTGTGTTTCTGCTTGAAGGCTCTTGTTTGCGCTGGACGTTTGATGTTGTCTTTTGGCTATGCTATAGTCTGAACACCGTGAGGTTTACCTTATCTCCGGTAGGTTAGTTTTTGTTGTGCAATCAGGTTTTCATCCCATGATGTGTGTGTCGATTGCGAGCACGTATAGTGGGTTTACTTATAGTAATTTAACTGACTTATCCCCTTTCTCGCTTTCGGTAATATCTTGCTCGATCTGAATAAATTGTATTTCCATTATGGCTTGTAACGGAAAGGGGTTTATGCCCGGTTGAAGAAGTAAAAACTCGACCCCTTCCCCCCAACCCACCCATACCAGCCGACCGCTTTCGCCCCCTCCTCCGGCGATATCTTGGCTCACCCTCGTCGGCTCGAGCTTGGGGCCGCACCGCTCTATCCCTCCCTCCAAATCGATTGAAATATAACTTTTTGTTTCCAGTTAACTGATGAATAGCAATTGCGAAGAAATATTTCTATTGAATTTGAATCCAGCAAAACCCCTCCAATTATCTTTGATCCGGACAAAAAAAGGCCTTTGACCTCGTTAGAGAAGCCAAGGAGAGCTGACCTTCCTTGGCCGATCACATGCAGATGCAGCTCCACCGGCTTAGCTTAGCTTAACCACCAATCAAGCGGTCGCGATCCCAACCCCATGTGCTCCCGTCCCGTCTCGCCGACACGTCCCCGCTCGCCGGCCGCCCCCACTGCCAGTCGGCCCCGCCGTCGACATGGCCCCACCCGCCAGCCTCATCCACGCCTGCCCGTGACCGCCGCGGCCGCAGCGGCGTGCGCTCGTCATTGCCGTTTGAACACTCGAGCTCCCTCGCCAGTCGCCATTAGCACCTCACCACTAGTAATAGCACGCCGCGGCCCCTTCCATCTCCACACGCATTCCGATCTCCTCTCCCCTCCTCGTGGCTTCGTCGTGCGCGCGCGCGGGATTCCCTCTCCTAGATCTCGGAGGAGGAGCGCGATGAGGGCGACGCGGCTCCTGGCGGCGGCGGCGCTCCTCGCCGCGCTGCTCGCGGTGTCCGCGGCGGCGGCGAAGCTCGATCTGGACGAGGTGGACGACTCGGAGGTGCTGGAGGCGCTGCTGGCCGTGGACGAGGAGGAGGAGGATGCGGCGCCGCCGGGCGGTGGCGGGGGCGCGGAGGCGGTGCGGCGGACGCAGTCCATGGTGCTGGTGCTCGACAACGACAACGCGGCGCGCGCCGTGCGGGACCACCCGGAGCTGCTGCTCCTCGGCTACGCGCCCTGGTGCGAGCGCAGCGCCAAGCTCATGCCGCGCTTCGCCGAGGCCGCCGCGGCGCTGCGCGCCATGGGGAGCGCCGTCGCCTTCGCCAAGCTCGACGGGGAGCGGTTCCCCAAGGCCGCCTCCACCGTCGGGGTCAACGGCTTCCCCTCCGTGCTCCTCTTCGTCAACGGCACCGAGCACGCCTACACCGGCCTCCACACCAAGTGAGCAGGCTGGCTGCTCAGCTGCCTTTGATCTGCTCGACGAATTGACTAATAAGGCTTTTGTCTCTCCTGTTGACAGGGACGCGATAGTTACTTGGGTTAGAAAGAAGACCGGCACGCCAGTAATTAGGATTGAGTCGAAGGATTCAGCTGAGGAACTTCTTAAGAAGGGCCAGACATTTGCTCTTGGCTTATTCAAGAATTACGAGGTATGCGAAATGCTTGATGCAGATGTTTAATTTGCAGGTTATGGTTTTGCTCTCTGGATAAAAACTTGTGAATGACGTTATACATTTGCTCAATTTTGTTGAGCTTTGTTTATTCATATCCATTTTTGACAGGGAACCGACCATGAAGAATTTATGAAGGCAGCGACTGCTGAAAACGAAGTACAATTTGTAGAGACCAATGATAGGAATGTGGCCAAGATTCTTTTTCCAGGGATTGCATCTGAAGAACAATTCCTGGGCCTTGTGAAAAGCGAACCAGAGAAGTTCGAAAAGTTTGGTAAGTATCTAATATGCAGATGCTCCATTTTTTCCTTATTTGCATTCTGGCCTTTCATTCCATGATTTGATGAGTAACTTATTAATTGGAATCCTTACTCATTATTGAAAATGCTATCAAAAAGAAAGATAATGCTGGGTTAACCTTCAATGGCAGTTGCTCATGCTTATCCATTTGGTCTACAATATAGTTATTGTAAGTGTAACAGTCATAAATTTATGATTTGTCCAATAACTCATGTAATTCCATTTTCCAGATGGAGCATTTGAAGAAAAGGAGATATTGCAGTTTGTGGAGCTTAACAAGTTCCCACTAATTACTGTATTCACTGATTTAAACTCAGCTAAAGTCTATTCAAGCCCAATTAAGTTGCAGGTTAGTACTCCCAGCCTTTCTAAATATTAACAAGGGCACCTTGGATATACATCACATTCTTCCCTAGTGGATTGAACTATGTAATAAGCCTTATAACTGTAAAGTGATCGTAGGAAATTATAAATATACTCTTGGTCTTTTACATGGTTAATTTGATTTAGTTTCTGCAAATTCGTTCTAGGTCTTCACCTTCGCAGAGGCTTATGATTTTGAAGATCTTGAATCTATTGTTCAAGAGGTGGCCAGAGGATTTAAGACAAAGGTGTGCAGTTTTGATATAAATAGATAGCTGCCCTCTGCTCTGTCCATTTTCGTCATATCATGCAAATGACTAAAACACTTTTCTCTCTGGCACTGCAGATAATGTTTATATATGTGGACACTGCTGAAGAAAACCTTGCAAAACCATTCCTGACTCTTTATGGCCTTGAAGGAGATAAACCTACTGTACGTTCATAGTATTATGAATCTCATTCTGGAGTGATGTTTCCATGTTATTTATCTTTTTCCAGTAGATGCAGGTGTGCACATGTGTGCATTATGGTGGGAGTTGTTTCCGTATCGTTTAATGATATTGCCTGTTGCTAAAACTATAAAGTTTACCAGGTTACAGCATTTGATACGAGCAAAGGTGCTAAATATGTGTTGGAGGCAGATATTAACGCGAAGAACCTAAAGGTAATGCGTTGTTTATTTGATTTTATGGTATGTTACTTGAGGCAAATTGATTAATTAGACCATGCACTGAATAACAGGAGTTCTCCTTAAGCCTTTTGGATGGTACACTGCCTCCATACTTCCGCTCAGAACCAGTACCACAAGAAGTAAGCTTTAATTTTGTCAAGTTTTGAATCTTGCAAGTTAATGTGTCAGGATTCAAAGTCCCTAAGCAGTCTAACTGAAATACAACTCATGTTAAGATGTGAGCAACATATGAACTTGTTACTCCTGACATGCATACTTAGTTTTTGCTCTTAATAAGATCTGTTAACATATAGGGAATGCTGTGAAGATTTTGTAATTAGTTTCCTGGCATGTCTACTTAGCCTTTGACCCCCACCCACCATTTTGCAGGAGGGACTTGTTGAAAAGGTTGTTGGACGTACATTTGATTCTTCTGTCCTGCAAAGCCCTCACAATATTCTCCTCGAGGTATTTGATCTTACTCATAGTTATTTATCTGTAATTTTGTATACTCCAATACTCACAATTCATCATTTTTCAAACTATTTTTATTTCTATCCAAGATCTCACACCCCTTTTTACATTGAAAACCATAGGCTCATGCACCTTGGTGTGTTGACTGTGAAGCCATCAGTAAAAACATTGAGAAGTTGGCCAAGCATTTCAGTGGTTTGGACAATCTTAAATTTGCACGCATTGATGCTTCGGTGAATGAACATCCAAAATTGCAGGTAATTCGATCCTTTTGCTGTACCATCACATATGCCCACAACATAGAGATCAAATACTTTCAACCTTGTACCACAGTCATGCCATCCATTAAATTATACTTACCTATGTAGCAAAATATAAGACGTTTTTGTAGGCTAAACTAGTCTACAAAAGAGTCTTATATTTTGATACAGAGGTGGTAGTTCTCATTGAAGTATTGGGATTATGTGCTATTAGTTACTATATAAGTGCCTTGAGAAAAGAAAATCATATGAAAGAGATTACTTTCGATACGTTCACGTTATCTGTTGGATTGCTGATTTAATTAACTATTGTTGGAATTATGTCCATTGAATTACCACACTAAGTGTTTTTTAGACAATTTGTGAAACTTTAAATTAGATTGCTCTAAAAAGTAATAACTGTTTTTATGAATTTATAAGCTTTGGACCGTGCATAGTTACATCCATGAAATTTATAACTAAGCCCATAACAATGTGTGCATAACACATGAATATTGACATACATGAGGGTGAGTTTGTTTGTTGTTTACTGTGAATGTAAAATATTGATGTGGAGTTTGTTTGTTGTTTCCCGCAAAAAAAAAAAACACAGTTGTTGTTCACTGCAAATGTTGCCATGCATGGACTTTCAAAGATAGTTCTGTGGATAAAGAATAAGCAGAAAAATGACTTCCTATATGTTTAAGATGAGGTTCTGGTGGAATTGCTGCCACTTATGACTGGCTAACAGCTATATAAGGAAGAAAAGCTTAATAAGTGGCATAAATGAATGGGTGATAACTAGGATGTTTATTAAAGTTAAATTTGTTGAAAGAGATCTGAAGGTTTCTAGCTCCTTTGCATTTGAATGCTGGAACCTGGAAGCATAGCCTTTTGCCATTCTGCTGAATGAATTAATCTAATAACCCGTTATGACCCATCAAAGGTATAACTTTAGCTTACAGTTTCCCCATGGTTTCTTACAGGTAAACAATTACCCCACACTCTTGCTTTATCCTGCTGAAGACAAGACCAACCCGGTACGTCTGCTGAAACAAATGCTAAGACGCCATAAGTTACCCTTCGCCATGTGTTAGTGATATATTATTGCTCTCCTTTTGGAAATGCAGATCAAACTTTCAAAGAAATTAAGCCTGAAAGACATGGCGAGATTCCTCAAGGAGAAGCTGCAGATTTCGGACGTCGAAATTAAGGAGAAGCTCCAAACTCCTAACATTGAAACAGTAGCTGCCGCTGACAATGTCAAGGATGAGCTATAGTTGATTGCTCGTTCAAGCATGCTGGCCGCGTTGAAGGAAAATGACCATGGAGCATGGCCTTATAGAGAAGGAAATAGAGTAGGGGTTGGTCACGTTTACGCAGTAGACATCTAAAATCAAACATATATGATGATGTACCACATGTTGATGTACCACATAGCTTGTTCATGTATTATATAATGAAAATAATAAAGTCAGTAACTCTAATATCGGATGTTGTATGAGTATCAAAGCTCAAGCAGGTTGGGTATGTTACATGAGAATGATCCCAATTTATTTTGCAGTACTATCTATTGGTTAGAAAATGTGTGTGAGTTTGGCTTCAAAGTTCCACTGCATTAGTTTCTTTGGATGCAAAATGTTGAAGGTACCAAACAAAGAGATCAAAGTCATAAGAGCAAAAGTTGCAGACCAGGACGAAATGAAGGTAAATAGAACAAAGCTCAAATGCAGGCCAGATTTTGGTTTAGTTCTACAGGCTCAAGAACAAAATCAGGCCAAATTTTGAATTAGATTTGTAGGGCTTTCCCCTCTCCGAAGAGAGGGAGCCCTTCCAGAAATTCTCAGTGGCCCATGAGGGCCAAAGAGGGGATTTGGAAATAGTTTTCAACCAGCAATTGACGCGCCTCGGTATAACCTCACTAGCTGCGTCATTGCCCCAAGCGCAAAGATGCCTTCTCCCGTCCGCCCACGGCCCCCTCTTATACCCATTTCGCCCCCCGCCACCCCCGTCCGCGAGCGAGGTGGGACTAATCGCACCACCAGCAAAGCCAACCGACGCACCACACTCACGGGACGGGCGGGCGGGCAAGCCAGGAGCGAGCGTGGGCCGGCCCGGTCTCGTGGCCTTGGGCCCCGATTCCAGTGGGCCTGGATAAGGATCACTGGATCCGGCAGCCGAATGACTCACCGAGCGACGCTCCACTCCAAGAAAAAAGCCGCCTTCTCTAAAAAAAAAATGCTGCTTGTGCTCCCACCGGTCAGTGTGGTGGGCATCCGTGCGGTGCGGCCCCGTCATCGTAACACCCGCAGCGCCTCGTGCTCTCTGCTTGTCCTGTCGACCCACCCATCGCTCATTTCCGGCGAGCCACCGCGCGGGGGCCGCCGATCTCCGGCGAATCGCGCCGATGCCGCCGCCCGCGATGGCGGCCGAGAAGAGGAGGGCCGCGTACGCGGCCTTCCTCCCGCTGCTCCTCCTCCTCGCGCTCCGCGCCCTCCTCCCCTCCTCCGACCCCCCGGCCCGGGGCGGGGAGGAAACCCTAGCCAGCAGGTACGTGGTGCGGTTCCTCGAGTACCGCCCCGCCGACGACCACCGGGAGTACCTGGAGGGCGGCCTCCCCCGCGAGGCCGGGCCGTGGCGGTGGGTGGAGCGGCGGAACCCCGCGGCCGCGCACCCGACCGACTTCGCCGTGCTCGAAATCCGCGACGCGCACCGGGACGCCGTCTTCGCGGCCGTCCGCGCGCTCGGCCGCGTCCGGGACGTGCACCCCGACGCCAGCCACTCGCGGGCCGCCCTCTCGGCGGATCGGCCGCAGCGGCGGGGCAAGCGGTTCACCGCCATGTCGTTCGAGGAGGAGGGACGCGGCGGTGACGACGACGCGGTTCCCAGCAATAATGCTAGTTCCTCTTCTGGTGGTCCGAGGCGGAAGCTACAAATGCGGGTACATTTCTCTTGGCACAGTGCTGCCCATGGTGGAAACATCTATGCATGATCATTTGTTTGATAATTATTAGTAGTAGCTTGCAACCGGACCGGGGTACATAAAGATCGCCAGCTCGGAAAAGGATTAGACCAGTCACATTCAGTGGAATTGAAGGCCATTTTCAACATCATTTATGTTCTTAATGTCAACTTCTTGTGGAAACAATTGTATAGGACTAGATTTTTCATTTGTACTCCCTCTGTCCCAGAATATAAGAACGTTTTTTACACTATGCTAGTGTTAAAGATGTTCTTATATTTTGGGACGGAGGGAGTACTTCTATAGTTGCTAAAATTGGTCCAGAATGTTAACCTTATTGTTTTCGTCTTTTGTAAAAGGACTCCAGAACATTAGCCTTTTATATATAAACTGGAACTGAAAATGAACGTGCTATGCAGTTTATGCTTAAAGCTAGAACGGCTTCCAACTAGCATGATGCTATGGCACTATGTTGCAACGCCAGAGCGACGTTCTAAACAGTGGATTGTATCATCTAGACACCTCAGATTTTGTGAATTTTCATGCAGCCTGCTTGTTGTCATGTTTTTTAGTACCGTAACACGTGTCCTTTGACAGAGACCACATGTGACATCTCTATTTGGAGCTGCACAACTATGGGAAAGAGGCTTCACTGGTAGGAAAGTCAAAATGGCCATTTTTGACACTGGTATTCGGGCAGATCACCCACATTTTCGCAATATTAAGGTATGATATTGAGTAAATTTTGTCACTGGTGATTTTGGTCCAGTATATGTGCACAAGAGGTAGGAAAACATGAATCTGGAGGAAGTTAGGCAAACAATTTTGCTTGTGGAAGTTTGTCTCTGCTCTTGAAAACACACACGATATCTTAACATGCACTTATGAGCTATGAAGCACCGACAGGGCGACATGGATACGGCGGTACGGATCTGGTGACACGGGATACGGCAATCTCTAGAAACTGTCATACAGCGATACAGCGACTATATCTATCGTTCAGAAAATGTCATGTAATAAAGACACAAAATAATTGAATGCATGAGATGAGATCAAAATACTGTCCCATTTGTCGCCTCTGTGCCTCTTTTCACTCCCTAGCAGCAACATCAGCAGGTCAGCAGCATACAACCAACATCATCAGCCCAGCAGCCCAGCGCCAGAGCACCCAACGGCCAGCACCCAGCAGCTGCCCAGCAAGCACGCGGGGACTGGGGAGGACCTTACCGGTGACGGGTGGTAGCGGCAAAGAGGATTTGAGGTGGCGACATGGGTGACTCCAGGCGTTAGCGAGGTGAATCCACATGGTGGCGATGCGATTCCAGGCGGCAGTGTGCGTGTGCGGTCGCAAAGATCCAATCGCTTGCCTTGGTCCTCCTGTGGTTGTGGGAATAGAGAGCTGCTGTTAGGGTTTGCACCGGGCTTCTATTGGGCTCGGGCTGCGCTCCCATCATCCCACGTCCCACGTCCGTATAGTTTTTTTCTTTTCTTTTTTAATTGAAAGAATCGACATTGTGGGAATACGCGTATCACAACGTATCCGGCGTATCTGTCGCGTCTTGGACGTGGGTACGCCGGACCCGGCCGTATGGTGCTTCGTAGCTTATTATTGTTATTACCTAACACTGTTGTCCTGACAAAAGTACTTCTTCTGAGATGTTGCAACATTAATTCATGTCTGCCCGTCACAAAACTATGGTGGCAATGCCTTGGGGAAACTGCTATGCTTGTATTATCTCACATGGAAAACGAAATTAGAGCTTGCTATCCTGATTAACTGTGCAGGACAAATTAAAGTTACACCATTTTCTTGCATATGAGATAAAACTCCCCCCAAAAAGTGAAGTCTTTCTAAGATAGCATAACTGTGCAGGAGCGCACAAATTGGACAAATGAAGACACATTAAATGACAACCTTGGACATGGAACATTTGTAGCTGGAGTGATTGCTGGTCAAGATCCAGAATGTCCTGGATTTGCACCAAACACTGAGATATATGCATTTCGAGTATTCACAGATGCTCAGGTACTGGACTTGGTTGCTATATATGAAGCGCATCCACCAGCTTTTTGCACCATCATAATTACTTTCCATCTTCTTTGTATTTGCATTTGCAAATGTCCTCAAAACTAAGGAAACCGAACTGTAACTTTTTGGAAAGACAAACCATGAGTCTTACAGTGTTTTAATGCTCTCAACATGTCTTCATTTTATAAATGTAAAATACAATTTAGAATCACCAGACCTTGAGATGCTATGTTACTAGTATCTGTGAAAATTCTGCGAGCAATTTTTACTATTTATTTGAAGCAAATACAACTAATTATGCCAAAATTTGTGCTGGTAAGATTTTGAGAATTACCTTTTCCTTGCAGTGCAGATATCCTACACATCATGGTTCTTGGATGCATTTAATTATGCGATGGCAACTGGTATGGATGTATTGAATTTGAGTATTGGCGGACCTGATTACCTGGATCTCCCCTTTGTGGAAAAGGTAGAACTTGGTTATGATCACTGAACTCCAATTTCTTTCTTTTGCCTTCTCACTTATTAGTATTACATTGACTTTTGTTTTTTTACTGCAATTCGTTGAAATGTGATAGCTCTTGCAGCTACTAAGTAATGATAGTAACTCATAGCTCTCTAGTGATGGGCTACTAGTAACTGGCAGTATCCTTGATAGCTACAGAAGTCCTGTCTTTCTTTGTCAATTAATTATCGTATTTTTTTGGGTTGTAGATAAATAGGTGAGCTTATTGACCTGCCAATAATGGGAAGAAGGCCCACTTATTGACCAAATTAAGGACTTGCTCTGAACGAAGGATTTTGTAGTAATTTCGTAGCATGAACACATGTACTTTCGTAGCTATCGAGTTTTAACCAACTATGGGTTTATATTCCTTGGCAAATCTCCTCTATGAATGTTCGCGGTCATTGACTTGAGCAACACCAACTGTTGCTGTCTTCTCTTATTTTTGGTTTCAATGCATTTCCCCTTAATTGTGTAGTTTTGCGTACTTCTCTGCTTACTGGAGTAAAAAAAGAACCAGTCCAAATTACGAGTGCTAACAAATGTTTTCTGCTGCTAATGAGTAAACTTTGGGGATCTTAAATAATTTTTTATCGGGGTCTTGAAATCTTTCTAAATTTGTTCTGTAGGTCTGGGAGCTCACAGCAAACAACATTATTATGGTATCAGCTATTGGAAATGATGGTCCTCTCTATGGCACATTAAATAACCCAGCAGACCAAAGCGATGTCATCGGCGTTGGTGGTATTGATTACAATAACCACATAGCTTCATTTTCCTCTAG